ATGTTGATGCACAGTGGAGGGAGGGAGGTGGGGTCCTAGCTGAGTGTCCCGCCCCCCATCAGGTCCTCACAACTGCATTGCAAGGCCAGGCTTGCCCAATTTACAGATGGGGATACTGAGGCTCAGGCAGGGGAGGCTTGGGGCAGGCAGCTTGTGGGGCACTGGTAGGGCCAGGCAGGTGTGTCTGACTGGGAGCTGATGCTTGTGCCCCGGATTTGAGACAATGACCATGTCGACCGTGACAGTGGCAGCTTCCAGGGCCCCGGCCACAGCAGCACTGACGATGACATCACAGCATGTGGCAGGAATGTGGTGACACCCTCGGGCCCGGCTTAACCCCTGGGGCACAGCAGCTCCCCACGCTGCCCCCTCTACTGCCTGCTCCTTTAGCCCGAGGTGGGTCCTAGCTGTGCAGAATTGAGGCCTGGGCTGTTAGTGTGAGGAGACCAGGTTCCTGATCTCCAAATGGACAGAGGGCTCAGCCCAGACCCTGTCCTGGACCCCCAGTGCTGATGCTCCTGCTGCATCCCTCGGACGGGATTTGCTGAGCCGCTACTACGTGCCAGGACCCTGAGTCAGGCTGAGGTTCTGGTGGGGAGAGCTGCACACCACTGCACACCGACAAGGATGGAAGTTCAGATAGTGGGGTCCGGCCGGGCTGAATGCAGGCAGCAGGGTGGGGGTGGGGGGACAGGACGGAGAGAGTGTGTGTGTGCGTGTGTGTAGGGGCTAGTGCCCACCTCCTGCCTCGCTGTGAACTGAGTGTGCAACCGTGCAAGGAGGTCAAGGGGCCTGGAGAGGCTTTCTATGCCTGGGAGGAAGACCCAGGACCTCCAAGGTGCGAAGGAGACACTGTTAGGTGAAGAAGGCACCCTGTCGCAGGGGCTGTGTCCCTAAAGTCCCTGCTGGGTTGTGCTCGGCTCTGGGCCCTAAGAGGTTGTCCTGACTGTTTTCAGGAGGAAATGACGGGTGGAGTCCCGGGGTCACCAGAGAAGACAGAGTCCAGAGAATCTGAGCAAGAAACTTCACAGTCTGAGATCATTATCTCCTAAGTGGAAGGAAAGCCCGGCTTCTCTGTGAAGTTAAATGAAGAGGCTGAGCTTTGTGACTGCTGCATCCCTCCTGACACCCCTGCCAGCCCCTACCTCAGTTATAAATCCCAGGGGTGGGGGATGTCATAACACCCCACCTGCCTGGCACATGATTCAGCAGCGCCTGGCTTTCACCCGGCCAGCTGGCAGGAAAATCACCTTTCTTGTGATTGATGGAGTGTGTGTCCGCGGGGACCAAGAGGTGGGGCTGTGTGGGGCTGTGCCACTGCCACCAGGACCTTCAATACTGCTGTTCAGCAGTGGCCTGGGGCTGCCTCGGGCCCCTCACTCACCAAGCCCTACGGGTTTCTGAGAGGGGAGATGGTGCTGGCCCCAGCTGGGGAGCCTAGAGCCTTGAGGGTGGACCCAGCAGTCGCCCAGCTTGCTCCTCTGCCCCAGCTCTGCCGCCTGCTCCCTGCCCACCACGGGCCCTCCCACCGCAGGGTGCCCATCAGAACTGCTACAGCAGCCCAGTGGGAGGCAGGGGCAGGGGACTCCTGGGTGCCCCCAGCACAGCTGCCCCTTCCGTGCACCTCCCACGGTGTTGCCTGCCTATGCTGTCCTGGCAGTGCCTTGACCTCCTGCCTCTGTGCCCTCTGTGCCCTCTGTGCTGCTCTCCATCCACTGCTTGGGTCCCACTAAGCCTCCCCAGAAGTGGCTGAGCCCCACTTGGAGACTCCAGGAGCCCAGGGGATGAGGGTGTGTCTGCAGCGGTCTTGCTCCTGCTGCTCCTCCATGGGGAGCCCCGAGGAGCTGGAGAAGCTGGGGTCATCTACAGGAGACAGAGCTGGGGCGGGGCAGGCAGGGGAGAAAGGGAGATAACCCACAGAGGCTGCGCTCACAGGAGGCTTCTGGAGGTAAAGGCAGAAGCAAAGAGACGTTTTCGGGAGCAGCCGCACTCAGCAGGAGGCTCTTGAAAGCTGTGAGGGGAAGAGAAGCCTTTCCAGGGACTGATGAGCATTAAAGAGTCTCCCAGGCTGGGCACGGTGGCTCACGCCTGTAATCCCACCATTTTGGGAGGCCGAGACGGGTGGATCATGAGGTCAGGAGTTCAAGACCAGCCTGGCCAAGATGGTCAAACCCTGCCTCTACTAAAAATCCAAAAATCAGCTGGGTGTGGTGGGGGGCACCTATAATCCCAGCTACTTGGGAGGCTGAGGCAGAGAACTGCTTGAACCTGGGAGGCAGAGGTTGTAGTGAGCCAAGATTGCACCACTGTATTCCAGCCTGGGCAACAAAGCAAGACTCAGTCTCAAAAAAAAAAAAAAAAAAAAAAAAAAAAAAAGGAATCTCTGCGGCCCACACTCTTTTCCTGGACATTCTCCGATGTGACTGAGGAGGGCCGCAGAGAGCACTTGTTATGCCTGTTTGGATGCCAAGCGGTGCTTCACTGACTGGGACACCACGTGGAGGCTGGGACACCTGGGGCCAGGGACCTAGTCAGGTTACAGAAAGATCTGTAATGCTGGAGACGTTGTGGGTCACACAGCCGGGAGGACCTTGGAGTGGCAGAAAAGGAGGGTCCTCCCTGATCTCCAAATCAAGTCCCCTCTCACTTCAGTTCCTCAACTGGCAAACCTGAAGCCCCAAAAGGAAGCTCCTCACCCAGAGTCACACTGCACGTCAAAGAGCACAGCGGGAGTGGGGCGGTGCCTGCAAATCCAGCCAGGGATGGGCTGTTCCCTTATTCTGCACCACATCCTTGTGGGTTCTGAAGACCCTTCTTCACGCTCACATGGTGATGGAACACCCTCCCGAGCCTGCACTCAGGGCAGTCAGGAGCCTCTGAACTCCCAAAGGAAACGTGTCCCACCTGGACCTGGAGCTCAGCCGGGCACCCAGGCACTGTGCACCATCCCCACAAGCCTGGCACACTCTCTGCATCCTGATGGCACAGCATGGGGCCTGGCACACAGCAGGTGTGCCACGTGTCCTTGGTGAAAAGCGATACGGAACAGGGGTGGGGTGGGAACTGCTGCTGGGACAAGCAAAGGGTTCTGGGCAGGGCGAGACTCGGGGGCTGTTAGCAGAAGGTACAGTGAGGCAGGAAATGGAGCACCTGGAGGCCGGGGCAGGCAGACAGCCCCCAAGTGCTGAGCACAGGGCGCCAGCAACATCCCCCATCCTCTTGGCAAGTGTTCGGGATGGTGTGAGCTATTTATTGCAAATGCACGTGCATGCAAAAGGTGTGGGAGTGGAGGAGGACCAGCGTTTTAAATGGAAGATTCTCAGCTATCAGAAAGCTTGGCTATTATAGACATTTTCCAGTGCTTCCCGAGCTGTCCTGCCTACAGGCGTCCCCCCCAGAGATGCCTGGTCCGTGGGCTCTGGGTCTTCCATTTGACAAACCCTCCAGGTGTGTCTGTTGCAAGGGACTCGCATTTCAGAACACCCCACTATGGGGTCCTGCCAACAGACATTTCATTGCCTGTAGCTCTCTGAAGTCCCTACTGCTCAAGGGTGGGGGCTGGCTTCTCTACTCATCACCTCCACATCCCCCAGAACCTGGCACAGACCCCTGCCCAAGGACCCACTCAGCCAGCATTTGTCAAACTGAGCCACACATGGCTGTGTCTTTGTCTCCTGTGTAATAGATGTCGTCATTATTCGATCGATAAGCACAAACTGATTTATACATATCTTATTAATTGTTTAAGGCACTCATTGAACAGGTCACTACCTGCTAGCTATGTGAATGAACGCTAACTCACTTGGTTTCTGCCTCCAAAGAGAAGGAATCAAGGGTTAAATGAGCACCTACTACGTGCCAGGTAGGCACACAGTTAACCCATGGAAGGGGGCAGTCTTACCCTCTCCTTTTTCACGAGGATCAGAAGGTTAAGAGGGTGAAATCTCATGCCTGAAGTCAAGGAGCAGGTAAATGGCAGAGCTGGGACTCAGACCCAGGTCAGGTTGCCTGCAAAGCTCCTGGACTTGAACCCAGGGGTTGCTGTGCGGCAAACTCCTGCACACCCCGCAGCAGGGGGCCTCTGGATGGATCTTGCAGCCGGGGCTTGGTATCATGATGTCCCTGCATGATGTGCCCTGAGCCACATGTGCCCATGGCTGCAGCTCAGCCCCGACACGGCATCTGAACCTCTCATTCTACCCCTTGACCTGGGAATCGCCCCTCAGTCTGGCTCCTGTCCTTGGTACTACCAGCCTCCCAGGGAGTTCCTGCTCCAAACGCCAAACCTGCCTCTCTCCTTCCAACTCTAGATGCCACACTACCCAGGGCTGCCTGCGGTTAGGTCAGGCTCGCCCCCACCACCCTGGAACTGGGCAGAAATAGGAACTGCAGTAGATAAGCTCAGATCTGAACACAACCCTGAGGCAGCCACCCCACAAGGCCAACCCCTGAGATGCCACCTGTCTGGCTGGCTTCCTTCCTTCCTGAACAGCCTGCCTGAGTCAGCACTCACACCCCTCATGCCACACAAGGCATGTACGTATAAGGAAACAAGTAACATTTGTATTTTCTAACCTCGTGCCGAAAAATCTGCCTGGGCAGACCGATTTGCTTCCTTTGGCCAGGTTTACAACTTAGAAACCCACCCAGTTTCCCCCTTTGCCTCGGCAGCTAGGAAACGCAAAACTCCACTTAATGTTCAGTGGTTCCGTCTCTCGCACGGGGCCCTCAGCGCGATGAGCTTGCAAGCTTTGCTTCTAAGCTGTCTCCGCCTCCCACGTTGACTTTCCCGTGCAGGCACATGTTCTAGGCTACCACGACAGTTTCAGCTTTTTCTTGACAAACAACAAGATACGCAAACCAAACCACTGGGTAACCAAACGGCCAGATCGTTCCGACGAGCCAATTCGTTCTCACCACGGCGAGAATGACGGCGGACTTTCCATGCTCTCCAAAGACAATGACCCCAATCAGCGCCGGCCTCAATGGCAGCCACTTACCAGGCAGACGAACTCTGGAAGGTCATCAGCGGTGGGCTGTGGGCGTCTCCCCGCAGCGTGTGCACGGCCTGGGGGGCTTGGGGCAGCGGGCCTGGGGGAGGCTGCGGCTGTGGGGCCCGCTGCCCCGGCCGAGGGGCCCGAGCAGGGTTCCCCCACCGCCGGGGGTCCTGTTTCATCCACCGTCCTTGGATGCCCCACCGTGCCAGGTAGACCTTGCAGATGTCGTAGTTCATTGCCGAGTAATACAAAAGGTCCAGAAGCAGCAGCATCAACACGAAAAAGCCGTAGATCCACACTCCCAACAAGGCGGTGTAATTGCTGCGAATGAACAGAGAGGGAGTGAGTGAGGAGAGGCGAGCAGCCCCGGTCGGGCTGGCGTCCTCAGCGGGGCTGATTACAGAACCTGGCATGGGGGATATTTTGGAGTCCTAGGGAGGAGGGTCGGAGCCCCTCTGGAGGGCGGGACCTTGGCTCCCTCTCCTCTGCCTGCACTGTTCACCTCCTTCCCTGGAATCCATTGCCTTGGGCCTGGTCCCCACCTGAGCATCCTCCAGGACCCCACGTCCTTGGGCTGGGATCCCTGTGAGTCCCACACTGTCAGGCACTTTGGTAGGAATTCTGGGCTGGCATCGGGGTCTCCCGGGACATGGCAGCCTCTTCCTCCTCCTGGTACTGTTTTGGCCTGGCCGCTCCCTCTTTCCCACAGATGCCCCTGCTCACCACCCCTGCCCCGCCTTTGCCTATGTTGTTCCTGCTCCCCCACCATGCTCTCACTGCCTCACCCCTGCTGTGAGGGTGGAGCTCCTCCCCATCCTGCTGGACCTAGGGCAGAGGCCTCAGGTTCTGCCCTCCACACCCCTCCCAACCTCCCCCAGGGGTCCCCTTCACTTAACACCACCAGGCTGTGCACGGCTGGGGTGCCCGGGCCCTGGGACCTCACTTCTCTTATTCATTTGCCCAATATTTCCCCACTAAGGGCTGCTCTGCCTTCCCCAGGCAGAGGTGGCCAAAGTCGCGGAGGGTTCAGAGTCCTGCTGGGAAGCCTGGCTCTCCCGGCATCAGCCGGCTCTACTGCAGAGAGGGTCTGTTCTCCCAGCACCTGGCCTTTGCACAGACCGTGCCTTCTTTCCCTGACCCCTCCTCCCACCGGCCCTCTGTTGAAGACGACTTGCTCCAGGAAGGCTTCCGGACACCCTGACCCTCCTACATGGGTGGGACAAGCCCCTCTTCTGGCCCACAACCCTGATTTCCCCTCAAACCCAGCCCTCGTCACCCAGAGCCACGTCTGTCTCCCACGCCCTTCCCCAAGGCCAGGGTCTGAGTCTCCGCGTGCCCAAGGTGGACGGTGTCCTGGGCTTCCCACTGCAGCGGGGGCTTCTGAGTCCTAACAGTACGTGCCAGGGGCTGCGGCTGCCTGAACGTACCGCTCTGTTAATGCCTCCGGCTGCTCCCTGCTGTGGGCATGTGTCTGGGTGGGTGTGCGCTTCAGTGTTGAGGAGGCATAAACGCAGCCAGTGTCCGGCCTGCGCACGCTGCCACTGCACCTCCCCGGGGAGAGACCCGCCGGCCTCTTGCCCAGACTGGGCTCTCAGGGGCAGCACAACCTTCAAGACCCTGTTTGGGGCTGAGGACAGGTGCCAGCCTGGATCCCTGGTTCTAATTCTTCCTCTGCCTGGTTTGCTGTGTGGCCTGGGAGAACCCCTGCCTGTCTCTGGGCCTGAAGGAGAGGAGCAGGAGGCCTCTCCCTGTCTCAGCTTCCAGGCTCCAGATCTTCCCAGGCTTAGGTCAGCCCCAGCGCCAGCAGCGGCCTCTGTAGGAAGACAGGGGCTGCTTCCCAGTGGGTCCTCTGGCCCTGACCAGGGCAGCGCCCAGGGCTGGGGAAGCTCGCTTTCCCCCTCTGCCTGGAAAGACTTCCCTCCCCTCACTTGGCCAAGTTGTTGGCCTGAAGATGCTGCTCTGGTGCCTGGGATCCACTGGATGGGAGCCTCTGCATGTCCTGAGCATGTCCCATGAGCAGCCACGGGCTGGTGCTGAGGCTTTGCCGTTGTAATCCCACAGCTCCCGGTCACCACGGATCCTTGCTGCCTCCCAGCCCCCACCGCCATGAAGCCTGCAGCAGACCAAGGGGCTCGCTCATGCTCAGGTGTAAATGACTGCCAGCCAGGCCCAGCTGCCTTCTGTTAAAGAGAGGCCCGCTTTTCCTGGAGGCACCTGGATGTGGGATTCCTTCCAGGGAAAAGAGGCCTGCGGCCCCATCCAGCATGCTGGGGCAGGCGTCCCCAGGGTAGCTGTCCCCGCAGACAGAGGAGGCCAGTCTGGCTCCAGTCCCCAGGCCTCCCGCTCTCCCAGCACCCTCCCTCCTGCAGCCCCCACAGAATCGCTCTAAGTGGCAGGTTTTTCTTCGGTGGTTCCCATGGCAGCAGCCACGGGGGCTGAGGGAGGAGACGGGGGAAGGGGAGGCAGGGCAGCTGTGTGCAGATGCTGTCCGCAGAAGGGGTCCGGGATGCCAGCTGGGGCTGTGGCTGGGCCGCAGGCTGTGGGCCTGGAACTACCGGGTCAAGAAGGAACAGTACCTGAGGCAGCAGCGGACGCTCGTTCCCCCACCTGCTTCCCACGTTAGCCCACCTCATGCTCACGCAAACACGGGAAGAAACAGCTTTTTCATCATTGTCATCCCTGCTTTACAGACGGAAAACTGAGGCTCAGTGGAATTAGACAGACTTGCCTAAGAGCTCACAGCCATTAAGGGTCAGAACCAGTACTTGAACTCAGCAGCTGAGCTCTAGAGTTGTGCTTCTAACCACTGTACCACACTGGCTTGGCTGCGGCCGCCTAGGTTCTCAGGGTAGAAAAGCTGCCTCCAACCCAACAGCACTCCTGCCTGGAGGCCTCTGTCCATGCTGCACCTCTGTCCAGAACCCCTGCCTACCTCCCACACACCCAGCTGGCCCTGTGTCTTAGCCCAGATATCACCTCCTCCAGGAAGCCTTCCTTGATGCCCTGTGTCAGTCCAACCCCTACCCTGCATTCCCAAAGCCACTGGATTTCCCAGAACACACTGCTGTCTTTGCTGTTTGGTAGGACTGTCTGCCCCTGGATATTGGGAGGGCCCTGAGGGCAGAGCGCGAGTTCAAGTTGTCGTTATGAGCCCAGCACTCAGCCTCGGGCTGTGAATACTGACACCAACACATACTGAGAGCTGGGGATGCGCTGGTGACAGTGGCCGCTTTGATACTAACTTCACTGGAGTTTATAGCCGGCATGTCTGTGCGCCAGCAGCTAACAGAAATGCTGGCAATTGTCATGCGTCAGTGCCCTGTGCTTCCGAATCCTTGCAAAGGTGCCATGAGGGAGGAGCTGGTGTCCCCGTGTCACACACGAGGAAATGAGACCAAGAGAGGCAAAGTCACTTGCCAAAGGCCACACAGCTGGTGAGTGGCAGTGCTGGGAGCTGGAACCAGGTCCCTCTGACCTCAGATGAGCTAATCTTGGGGTAAGGCTGAGGTCCAATCTAGGCTAGATGTTCAGAGAGGGGTCCCCTGCACCTGCGGGGTGTGCCCGCTTGTCCTGGCCCACCCTCTACCAGGAACCCCAAGGGCGAGTCCCCATCCTCCCTCCTCCGGGCATCCTGCAAATCAGTGTGTCACTGTCATCATGTGTGAGTGCACTGCCATGCTCCCAGCCTTTGCAGCCAGCCTGCTGGAGTTGACACATGACATGACACCCAGCGCTCCCAGCTCAGCCTCGATGTCCGGGAAGGGAGGGGCCTGCCTGTGGGAGGTGCTGTCTTTGCTGACTCGCCCTTCCTTGTCAGGTGGCCACCTTGGAGGTGGCAGGCGGGGAAGCCCGGGACACAGGCATCATCCTAAAGCCACTCCCCTGGCCTTCCATGGCTGGCCCTCCCCATGGTCGACCAGCTGGGAAGATTCAGGTCTTTAAAAACATTTCAGAAATGTAATAAAAAATATGTGACCCGGAAATTAACTCCATCAGATGCAGGGGGTCTTTGTTGTGTGGGTATGTGTTCTGTAAATGGCAGAAAGTGAAGCACCAAAGGCCGTTTTATGGAGCAAGAGGTGAAGGCAGCCAAGGCCGCAGACGGCAATTTTTTTAGTGTATTTTGGGATATTTACTGATTCAAATTTTTTTGGTGTTTTCCAAGCAGTCAACAAAACCTACTCTGATGAAGGAACCGCACTGAACGTCTTGCCAGGGCACAGGAGCAGATCCGTCAGCAGGAACAGCAGCGGCAGCCAGTGTGGGCTGGAAGTCCCCATCACCACCCCACCAGGAAGTCACGTTGGAGGGTGGGGGAGGAGAGTTCCTGAGGCCAGCAGGTCAAAACGAGACATCGGCTCAGCTGGAAGATGGCCGATGGCCCCTCTGCCAACCTCGCCTATGGGCCAGGCATGGTGGCTCACGCCTGTAATCCCAGCACTTTGGGAGGCCGAGGCGGACGGATCATGAGGTCAGGAGTTGGAGACCAGCCTGACCAACATGGTGAAACCCCGTCTCTACTAAAAATACAAAAATTAGCCAGATGTGGTAGCACACACCTGTAATTCCAGCTACTCAGGAGGCTGAGGCAGGAGAATCGCTTGAACCTGGGAGGCAGAGGTTGCACTGAGCCGAGATTGATTGTGGCACTGCACTCCAGCCTGGGCGACACAGCGTCTCCATCTCAAAAAAAAAAAAAAAAAGAGGGGGGGAGTATGGCACCCACTGGCAGGAGCAGCCTCGGGTCCATGAGACAAGGTGGGTGACCCTGGCAACTAAGGTGTGAGCTCACAAGAAGTCAGGGCTGTGTGAATTCAAATCCTAGCTCAGCAAAATTCTCTCTGTGATTTTGGGAAAATGAGCCTCAGTTTCCTTGTCTGTGAAATGGGGATACCCAGACCCCCTACTTCATGGTGTGACTATGAGGCTGTGAGATAGCTTGAGGGTCTGGAGAGAGAGAGACAGACCCCAGGAGTGCTGGCTCATGTGATTAAGGCACAGAGAGAGTGCTTAATAGATCTAGACCCAGAGAGGCAAAGTGCCTTGCCCACGGTCACACAGCAGGATCGAGGTTGTCCAGTGCAGTGGTGGTGTGTGGGCTTTGGGCCGGGACACACCCGGCAAAGCAGAGTCTGCGCCTAGCTGAAGACATTCCCCATAGCGCCAGTCCCTCTGTCTCTCCCCACCCCACTGGTAACAGGCTTGTACAAGCGATGTATGTACTTTGGCCAATGAAACATGAGCAAAAATGCTATGGTCACATCTGAGCAGAAGCTTAGAGACACGACGTGCGTGGCTTCACCACTGCGTTCTCCCTCTAC